GAGCGAAAGAGAGAAAAAGAGAGAGAGAGAGAGAGAGAGAGAGAGAGAGAGAGAGAGAGTTACCCGCACCTCCCATCGACCCTCGACGCCCGTCCCTCCCACCACCAGACCCCCGCCAGACCCCTCAGACGCCCCCTCCTCTTCAAGATGTTTAGGGTTACGAACTGACAAGAAGAGAGAGAGAGAGAGACAGAGAGACAGACAGAGAGAGAGAGGGAGAAAGACTGACCTTGCTGGCGGCTGGCTTCTTGTCGGAGGCGATGGCGACCTCCTCTGGCTCCCTCTCAAGCGGCCATGGCGACCTCCTCTGGCTCCCTCTCAAGCGGCCATGGCGACCTCCTCTGGCTCCCTCTCAAGCGGCCGGGGCCACCTCCTCTGTGACGATATCGTCCTACAGATGCGCGCCAAGGCGCAAACGTGGCAAATGGGGAAGTCGTCGACGGGCGGGAAGATTCGAAAAAGCAATCCGTCCGCTCGCTCCGATTTCCAATTCCAGTCCCCCAAACACTGTCCAACGGTCCAGCACTGAACCAAAGCATTCAGGCCCTTCAGAGCCCGTCTGGTAAGACCCCCGACAAAAGAAAATGTGAATTTTCCTCGATTAGGGCAGTCCGGACTGGACACCGGACCGCGTCATCCAGACACGGGCGTCCGGTTGGCTACACAGTACCTTTTCCAGCTATCGAGTCCGAGCCCCGAACGGTAAGCCGAAGCCGAAGCCGAAGCCGAGGCGATCGGTGAGACGAGTGGAACGACTTGGAGCGTTGGTGCATCCCTCTCGTGTCCGCTACATGCAACCAAGGTCAGGACGTGTTTCGCGCTGCTGGTCTCAGATGTGGAGCCCTAATTTTCGACAACAAATTGATACTATCAAGATTTCTACCAAGATCAGGATGTGTTTGGGGCTGCTGGTCTCAGATGTGGAAAGCTGGTCTCAGATATGGAGCCCTACTTTTCCACAACAAATTGATACTATCAAGGTTTCTCCCAACAAGGACTTTTTTTTGTACGCGGGTGGCTTGGCCAAGGCACGTCTTGTTCCTTTGCCAAGGAACGCTATGCGCTAACTTGCTGGAGGCGAGTGGCCTTCATACAATGTTCGCGTTCACCTTATAAGGTGACTTATTTGTCGTGTTAGGCAATCAGTGTGTATCTGCATGTCGTTTTATATGTGTTTCTTTTGTTAGGTTTAGGCCTTGTTTAAACTTGTTCTTGTGGCGAGATGCTTCTGCACGTTTTCTTAAACGTGCTTCTACTCAATCACTATCTGCTTTCCAGTTGACCATGCTTCGTTTAATTGGATTGCAATTACTTGTTTCACCCTTCCTCACTAAAATTTATGAATTATGGTTTTGGACTTTTGTTGGAAATCTTTTATGTTTTTCTTGCAAAATTTTTAGGGCTATAGATATTCGATAGGCATCCGTTTTAGCTCGTTTGTTTGCTGATGTAGTAAGAATTTTTGGATTTTTTTTTTATTCTTTATTTATTAGGGTTAGGAAATACTGGGTTGGGACTTAGAAAATAGGTGCCCTGTTACTAAATTTTAGGTATTTTTTGTTTTTTTATGTTTCTCATTTTTTATTCCTTTTTCACAGTGGACGGCCTCCGCTTCCTGAGTGGAGTTGGAGACCTTGTGGCCCCTAAATCCGCAACTCGTTCTTCATTGTACTTTTGCCTCGGGCATTGGGCCCTTTAAGGAAAAGGAACTATGCTTTTGAGGTTAAAAAATAAAAATCAAACCACATTTTAGTTTAAGAAAAGACAGGAAAATAAACAAACACGAGAATGAAGAATGACTAAGGGTCTTATCTTACCCCTTTTCTATTTCTATTTATTTCCTCATATTTACATACATTGGTGCTCACACAAATATTGTTTGTTTGCCAGTGTTATATAACCTTTTTTTTTTTGATTTTTTTATATTATTATTTCCCCGCACGCTATACGTATGAAACGTACATGGCCACGTACGGGTTTCCATATGTAAAATATTAGTGCATTATATACGGAAAGGCCTCGTACGTATACACACGACAACATAGGGTGCAAATTTTCTTTCACGACAGAAGTGGGTCCGTATTGGCTACCGTCGTTTAGGGGGGAAAAAAAAAAAAATCCATCGACACTCTACTTAAAAAAAAAAAAGAGGGAAAAAAAAACACATGGATGAAAAATGACTGATGGTTTGATCAAACTTTACGTAGGTTTTTGTAAAAAAAAAAAAAAAGGTGTGGGTCGCGCAGGTGGAGAAACAAATTTTGCACCATATGTTATCGCCCTTACACGTATGGGGCCTCCCCTTAGATAACGTACGTTTTTTTTTCGTATGAAACCTCATATAGGGCTATGTACATTTTGTCCATAAAACGCACGAAAAAAAAAATAAAAATAAATGTTATACAACATTCGCAGATAAGCAATATTTGTTTGAGCACCAACCTCCAATTCGTATTAAAATATATGAAAGAAATATAACAAAAATTGATAATTAAAAAAAAAAATTACTACAGCAACAATATGTTTGTGTGTGTTAAAGTACTTCATGCGGAAAGACAACGTGTCGAAGCAGGATACGCTAAACGTATCATAATCAAACTTCGAAGCAATACATCGGTGCACCCCCGTTCCTTGTCAGGCAAACACGGGATTTACCCAGCCGTTTTGTCTCATGCAATGGTTTCTTATGCTTGTTGTCTAGCTGTAGTGGGTCAGATAGTTGCGTAATCAATTGACCTCTTGCCATATTTTCAGCAAATTTGGTAATTGCCTAAAAAAATAAAAAAATAAAAAAATAAAAAATAAAAAATAAAATAAAATAATAATAATAAATAATAAATAATAATAATAATAAATAAAATAAGATATAAAATTATAATAAAAAATAGACTAAAAAAAAAATAAAAAATAAAAAATATATGATTTTTTTTAATTAAGAAAATACGATAAATTTCCAGTATAGAAAATACGGAATAACGGATACAGGTAAGGATTACAATACGCAATGTGCGAAGTGTGTATTTCAGTTATTTTTATGCACACACAATTTTGACGGTGATCACACACTCATCGCTAGGGCGGATGCTAACCCGAGTCAGTCATAGTACCCGACGCGGTGTATGGGGTTGCCCCCGTTTTTTTTGGCAAGCATGGTGGTTAAAACCTGTAGCTGCCTCTCTACTCTTCTCAATTGTTATGTTAAACGTATCTAAATGGTAAGTGATAGTTTCATGACTATGCTACTACTACTAAGAAGAATATACGATGTCATTCAATGGGTTGTATATATTGATATTTTAAGATCACGGTGGAGGGTAGAGAAGGTCGGGCGTGAAAAAATTGTGTCGCATCAACACGGGACGTAGGAGTAATGGATTAAGGCCACTTCGTAATATTTCCAATACTCTTCAAAAATATGTGCATAATCAGTGTGCGGTTGTGTGCTAATTACTCGTGTACTCAACCATCCTTTGTCGATATCCCTTTAAGCATTGCGACGGGAGACGTTGAACTGAATCAATCGTCGGGCCAAGCACTGCATATGGGGTTTGCTACTCGACGCTTGTATCCCTTGTTGTAACATTACTCGACCATAAATCCTGTTTCGCAAACAAACTTTTCATACCATCTATATCGATCCTACTTCATTTATTCGAACGATGAAGCATTCATAAAGACAAGGATAATCCATAGATTTCGTAACTGTGTATTAATCCTACTCGTGAAGTGAAAGAAAACAAAACATCATCCATATACGGAGATAGACAAGAGGGGGGGGAACAAATGAGGTTCGGATGCCTACAAATCATCATGTGGCGCAGAAAAAATATGTTTAAGGCATTGTACAACCAAATAATCATTTGTTGTACTTTCAATATATGTGAATAAACAACACATAATCTTGTGTGTATCAGTTGATCGTGTGTTCCGTAATTCTTTATCGCCCTTCCCACAAGCATCGCTTAGTCAGAACCTCATTTGAATCAGTCAGCATAACCAGCGTTGCGTATGGGGTCTGCTATTTTACAATCAACCGACGTGAAATTGATCAACGGCTGAGTCAATGAGTCCATTTCACCGTGGAAAATCGAGGGTGATCGGATTTAATATCCACCTTTTCAATCTTACTTCATTCATCCCAAGCATCAATAAAGGCAATGACATGCTATAAACTCTTGTCCATGTAAGGTTGAAATGTTGAAACGAGAAAACATGATATCATTGTGTATATATGAAGATATAAGGGAGGGGGAGGGGGAGGGGGAAGAGTAACGGAGATCAAGTGTCTGTATTCCGTATGTGCTTTAATTACTCATGTACTCAGTCATTCTTGTCGTCAGTCCTATAAGCATCGTGTAAACCGATATCGATTTGAACCAGTCGTCGGGCCAAGCGCTGCGTATGGGCTAGCAATTGTATCCTCCCTCGTGACATCAGGCGACTACTAACCGTATTTTGCAAACAGACTATCCATGCCAGCTTTGTAGATCCTGCCCAATTCATTTGAGCGATGAAGCATCCATAAAGACAGCGACGAGCCACAAACCCACAAACCCTGCAACGATGTGTAATCCTACTCCTGAAGCAAAAAAAACAAACCATCATTCATATACATAGGTAGACAGGAGGAGGAAGAGCAATAGTTGTGGAGGGACGCGGATACTTTTAAAGATCGCACATCTTTCCGAGGATTAAGGGAGAGAGAATCCATCACACAGTTGAGGGGGAATGAGCGAGAAAAATAATGACAATGATGCACAAATCCTCATCTAAAAATACAGCCTTCGTTCTGGCCAATATGCTGAAGCAACCATATCTTTCAGTCTTCAACATCGAACAATGCACAAGCATACAACAAATTGTCTGAGTGAAAAGGTGACACAAACGGTTGTATCCCCAGAGGCATTTTCACGCAATATGGAAAATCGGCCCTGGCAGCCACAGCAGGGAGGGTAGTGGTGATCCCTGAAGCGCTTTTCTGTCGCTAGCCACTAATGCACGGTTTCATTAGAGGGTGACACCTGCCATTTATCATGCAAGCTTAGGAGGTCGGGGTTGGATGCGCAGTGGTAGTGTCTGTAAGTGGAATAAATTGAAGAAGGCCAGCAACGTGATGAAAGCAAGCAACACGAAATATGAGATTTCAATAGCCACCCCTATCCTATCATTTGTTTGCCCGCCTTGCAGCGCCATCGCCCCTAATGCTAGCAACTTACTCCCAACCCGACGAAAAAGATTATAAGGGATGTGTGAGATGAAGATGCAAACTCTCATCCCCTAGCTGTGATGGCCCAGTGTATGGCTCATGCTTGTAGCGACGATAAGCCTTCTTGGCGATGTGATGGTTAGTTGTTCGGGGAATGCGTGCGAGCGTGTATGACGGGAAACAGACATATGATTATACCACGTCCTCGTCATCGCCGATCAGTTGATCCATCAAGTCCTAAACCACTTGATAGTCCAAGTCATGGTTACTTCAACAACCAACCTCTTCCCATCCTTTAAGATCGCCCTCTGGTGAGAACCCGAGCATACGGAGTTGGAAATGACGCTCGTTTTGGCAGATGACTGCTTGGCCAGAGAAAGCGTATGCGCAACAAACAGAATGATGAGCTATCCGAGGAGTTTCCCAATCCTAAATAGTCCCTGCCGATCGTCCTTATCCGAGAGATGTCCTGGTGCTATCGATGCTTTCCTGA